AGACGTGTGCTCTTCCGATCTGTAATTTTTCAATTTTTTCCGATTTTATTACAAATTCGTCCGTTCACATCACAATTTTATGTCTATTTCAATCCTGTGAAAGAATTTTCAATTCCATTCAGTCAATTCGGAGAAATTTACTCAATTGCAATGTGTCGGTAATTCCGACCTTTCAGCATCGCTTTAAAATCAATGAGCTCTACATATACATACTGAAGAAAATTTTCCGTATGCACAGTAAGCCAGGGAACTCGAAAAAGTGACAAAAAAGTGACCAATATGTAAATTCACATTTTCATTATCACGGTATCTTACAATAGATGAGTTAAAGCAGCTATGGAGAAATTTTTTTGCAAGTGGGTAGATATGTTCTTATAGGAACATAATAATGAAAATAGAAATTTTATTCGAGTCCTAACATAATTATAATTGTTAAAAAATTGAGCTTATAATTTGTGAAATTGTTCTTCCATATAATATCAATATTACTAGTATTTCAATTGAAGAAAGTAACAACGATACGAAGGAATTAACTTGAGGTTGGTATTGTGACACCATTTTTTTTTTTTTTTCGATTTTGTACAAGTCGCCGTTTTCCAACTCTCCGAAACTCGCATCTTTTAATAAAAAATTGAAAATGTCAGGAATCTTCATTATAATGTCTACTTTGAACCTATTATGCGATATTTTGCGAATACTGTAATTTTCCACGCGTAAACGCAATTAAGTGCCAATCGCTCGGATTAACTATGCTTTCATGATTGTACGCGTGTACGTACTGATTTTATCATTTGAGCTGTGTTTTTCAATCGAGAAAAGAATTCTTTAAATTCCATTATTCCTTTTTTTTTATCTCATAAAGGAACTTATATAGGGCTCAGATATTTGGACATGATCACGTGTGCGTGGAGTATCTGGCCCGCAAATGAGTTATTTTTAATATATTGAATTTTTGTTATCAGATTTGTTATCAGCGACATCGAAAACTTTTAAATACCAAGTTTCAGAATAATCCAACGAAATATTGAATTTTAATCACTTTTTCGAGTTCCCTGACTCACTGTGGTATGAGAGTCGACTACGAAAAAAGTAAGAGCTATGCAAGTTGGGAACGTCTGTCTCGCTTCAACATATAGATATTAAAGTAAGACAGACATTCCCAATTCACATCGCTGTCTCTTGCACAGTCCATCATATCAAGGTCCCTCCAATATAAGTTCATTGGTTAGGTAAGACTGCATTGTTTTTTTCAAATGCAACTGCAACGATACGCTGTACAGATCTTTTAAATCAATACATTTTTATAGTATTTTACGATCATAGAAGCAATCATTATTAATAACTTATTACTTACATCGTTATTAAGTTATGAATAATATATGATCGATTGCATACTCCACACACTATCGTTAATATAAAGAGGAATACGGAAAAGAAAATAAAAAGAGAAAAATATCACGAAAATGTAGTTGGCAACGATCCAGATATGCTTATCGCTAAAATTTTTCTGTGCGTATATCATACTTGATAAAGTAGTCATTTTATTTCAACTGTCTATTTAGTAATTTTATTAGTAATTTTGTCTATCTATTTAGTGATTGGCACCGAACTTCAACTGTAGATTTGTTTATTTTGTTGGGTAAAATTAACTTACTTCTTGTAACGAGATTTATTCTTTATACCATTCTTATATGTATATCTTTAAATTTAAATGTTCCTTTAATGATCCTTTTCTATTATTCTCTCTATTGTCATTACTTTTCAATTCTTGCTCTCGTTTCCATCTAACATTTCAAACATCGTTTGCTTTATATAGCTTTATATTGTCGTTTTATATAGCCGAAAAAAGTAAATCTATTCAATTACACAAGTAAGTAAGTTCAAACTAGCTTAAACATATACGCTTGAAACATATTTTCATAGACTTATTCATTTCATTATATCTTTCTTTTTTATCACTTTACAAGACTGAAAAAATGATCTATGCGTAAAATGAAAAATATTGATAAACGATTGTACAACACATTAAAAAAAAATACATAAAAATGAAGATAATCTTTTCCTGTGTATCTTTATCAGACACTAAATATTTACTACAATCGACACGTCACAAATTTAAGAAATTCGTACTTGAAGTTACAAAAAAGAACTATTTTAGTATATATTTTAGCATATTATATCCATGATATGTGATACATTAAAAAAAGTTTTATTGTAATCAAAATTAATTATGTTATTAGAATTCCCTTAAAAAATATTTATAATTAATATGTGTAAGATACATTGTTTCAAAAATATAATTTACATTAAGACATATTAACAAATATATTTTTTTAATATTTAAATTCAAGAGATCTTGAAAATTGCTTGACAAGGGAAAGAACTCAAGTGTTCTCTTCCAATTTTAATAAGCTTTGAATATACTGGTTTCCAGAGATTAATAAGAAATATATATTTTTTCACACTCCCTTACACCCTTTTAAAAGGTAAAATCTATCCTTTAGGAAATTTTTTTCTTTTAAAGTGAATATCGTTGCAAAAAGATAAAAAGATAAAAGATAAAAAAAATTTATCAGAGCAAAAATTTAATGATTTAACGAGTATTTTATAATTATAATCAAAAAATTGAAATTTTGAAAACATAATTAAGTGAAGATATAAAAAATATAATTAAAAAATTTTTTATTATGATTATAAAATACTCTTTTAAGCCATTTTTGTTTTGATACATTTTTTCTCTTTCTTATAGTTTCGACAATATTCGCTTCGAAAGAAAAAATTTTTTTCTTAAAGGATGTTTTACTTTAAAAGTACATAAAAGTTACGTATACAAAAATCGTGTTTCTTATTTTTATCTAAAAAACAACATATTCAAAGCTCATCAAAATTGAAGGAGAACATTTGAATCCCTTTCCTTGTGAGTTTTAATTTGATGTTAAAGTTAATAAATTTAAAATGATAGAATCAATATAGCGGATGATAAAATTTAAAAATGTTCGAATTTTCGGAATTATTCGTGTATAGAATTTCTTCATATAATGTAAATTGAATTTATTAATTTTGACATCAAATTAGTGATCTGAATTCTTAAGTTTGAATAATACAATTAAAAAATATTTAGTAAATCTTTAATAGGCTATACAAATTGCAATATTTTGATATAAATTGCAATAGACCTTGCATATTAATCATACATTAAATCATAACAAAGAGATGCAAAAATTAGCGGTCTGGAAAAGAAGAGTAATTTCTTGGTCTTTGACGCGCTGAATCGGAATACGCAAACAAAAATATTTTATTTTCTTTACGTCAAGTTTTTAAGAAAACGTGATTAAAATTGCCAAAACAATGTTTTAAAACATTTACATCTTTAAATACATTTACATCTTTTATAACTTGTCCTATGTGCTAGACACGTCAAAAAGAATTAAAATTAAAGTTTGAACATTATACTTTAAAATAAAAGTATCTTTTTTTCACTTCTGGTGTCATCAAACCTTTACAGCGTTTTGTTTTAGAGAGTAAGCCTACGTACATAAGGATGTCATAGGATTATATTTAACTCACAGCAAATCATTGTAATAAAAATTGTATGTATAATAAAAATGTCAACTCAAAATATTTAATAAGTGTAAAAGAATAATTATCATTTGTTGTGAACCTAAATGCAATCTTATGTTATCTTATATACGTATGATTATACCCCTAAAACACAGTAAGCTAGAGATTCGATGATGCCTGCAATGAAAAAAAAAATCAATATTTTTATTTTAAAATACAACGTTCAAAGTTTTAATTTAAGAACTTTTCATAAAGAAAATTAGCTTTATGGACTCTTCTCCATTCTCAAAATTGCGACATAATAGTATAACATAATTTGCTAAACGAAATCGTAATAAGTACGCTAAAACTATAAATAATTACCGTTGTTTTTATGTTCAAAACAAATTATTTTTTGTTGACTAGTATAATCGATTATGATACAAAAATGATTTAGAACACGCACGAATTTCATCTTTCTTTTCTTTCGTCTTTGCCTACACTCTGACATTTATATCAGGAATGCATACATCTATATATTGAAAAAGAAATATGGAAGCAAAACAATATCTTTAAAGGCGAAATAATCGGAAAAAAATTAATAATTATCATAATAATAAGAGAATTATCGCAATATACAGCTTTTGATTTAAACATTTGCGACAAAAAAGACAGTTAAGAATAGATAAAACAAGATTCCCACCGTTTCAATTGACAGAATTGACACAAAGAACATCTATGTGCGAACAAATAATTTCCGTGTCCCTCCCTTCCTCCCGTCCCGAGTTCTTTCTGCTTATACGACGTGAACTAGTTTAGCGAGCCTCGGATGCGGACGAAAACGTGTTACGCCGCGCGGCTACCGCTCGACCCCGACTCTGTCTACTAAAAATAAGGGCAAAGGCAGATTTTGAAACTCACTGAAGCTAGCCGCCGGCTGAACGTGATCCGCGGTCGTGGCTGCGGATGGTGGGGTGTAGCTGCTGCAGTAGTACGGCGGGTGCTCTATTTTGATCGCGTTTATTTGAGGCTGCATGTCGCTGAGGTCATGCAGTATGGACGCTGAAACCAGACATACATTAGCAGCTACGGTTCCTAGGACGTTCATACGTGTATCATTCGTTTTCCTTGCACTCTGCGAGCACGATCACGAAAATGGTACTTCCGTGCAAAAAACAGGAAAACGAGAGAGAGAGAGAGAGAGAGAGAGAGAGAGAGAGAGAAAGGAAGAAGGAAGAAAAGAAAGAGAAAAATCAAATAATAAGCGTAAAAAGAAATGGACCAAGAATATTTACAAAAGCAATTAAATGGGTCGCAATTCTCTTTTAGCTATCAAACTATACAACGTAATGTACGTAATAAATGCACAACAAAAATTCTACATTAAAGTAAACGAAATAAAGACATAATCATTATATATGTATGTATAATTGAGAAAATTATATCTACCACGCTCGCACCTAAAAGAAGCTATTGGATATAAAATTCGATCGAGAGTTATTCGAAAGGAATGCGATAGTTTTCGTTTGAACCATCCCCGATTTCCAACGAATGGCGTATTGCCATTCAGAACCGTTTGTTATTATTGAGATTGCCAATGATGAATCCACACCGAGAGCTCGCGTGTAACCTTTCCAAAGGGGTAACGACCCGTCGTAACATTCAAAGCTTTTCATTGTGGACTTACCATCAGATATTATATCGTATCTTTCTTATAGAAATATGCATTTTTTTCTCAAGCGAAAAAGTATCAACATAATTATTAGGATGCTTTCAAAAGGTCTTTCGCATTGAGACGTTCGTCACCTTTCGAAAGCATCCACAGAGGAATCGTCGTGTATATAAAATGTCTTGAGAAAATATAAATCGATCCAAAATGTAGAATTTATCGAACGTACAAACGCGTGTAAGCCGTGTGAGGCTGCTAAAGTCAAATTGCGTGCGATTAACAGAAGAACCCGAATTCGAACCTATGAGAAATATAGCACGTCGTACCTTTTGAAAGCATCCAAAGCTCTTTGGAGCTGAAGACACCTGTTGCAAGGATCGTATCATTGCAGACGACACCATTATATAGTTCATGGTATCCTGTACCTGGGAACAAAACCCAGCGAACAATATTTAATATCCGCTCACTGTTATAGTCGCTAAGCCCCAGTATATATACTAGTTTGAATATGTACCGGAAATGCGTAAAAATTTTATAGGAAACGATTAATCGAACTGTGTGTAAATGCTTCTCTTGAGACGAGCAAAATAGATATGATATACGCAAATATAAACTGCGAAATTATGTATTGGATTACCTTTTCGACGCCTGTCCTCCTCCTTGCTAGCGTTGCAGATGCCGTTCAATACCTCTATAACAGAAAAACGTGCTTAATTAATAAAAGTTAATTTATTTATGATAATCAATAGCTTTTTTCTATTCTTTTTCTTTCAGAATTCAAGTTTATCACTATCGAACTCTACGATCTTACAACATTGAAATATTCATATAAAGAAAATTACATAAAACTTTTCTTCTGGCGAAAAGCGTGTAACGTTTCCACTGTTGCACGGCGTTTTACGCAAATCTCATTACGCAACGTATCACCAAAATACTCGAGGGTCCAGAATGTACAGCGATTTCTTGAGGATCGAGAGAAGGGTAAAGAGCTGTACTGATAGAAACAAGTTTTATCGTGAATGTTCTAAAAGATAAACCAAAGAAAAAGAAAAGAGTAAAAAGTATAAAAAGAAACTAGAGATTTAATTGCATTGTGTATATTCGGAGAATATACATTTGTACTCTCTTCCAATATATGACATAATATAAAAATTATACTTAAAAATCACACGTAAATTTAATAACGTAGTTCCAAATCGATTTGGAAGCATTAATGAAAGTATACATTTTATTTTTGTTAAATATACGTTTAAAATACAACAATACGAGAAATTTTTGCAGTCTCGTTAAAGTTGTCTATCGCAAGAAAACAAAATCATCATATTTAGATCGCAAACTATTAAAAATTGTGAACCATCGATCGCTTTATTTCTTAAACGAATAGAGATCTATGCACAAAATCCGACTTTTACTTGAAATATCAATAACTGTCTGTTTCAACTGTATGTTTCTTTTGAAACGCAACATGGGAATGTCACTTCGATATTTAAAAATCAATTGTAGTAGCACACGACGAAAGTTTTTACAAGTGCAAAAATATTCAAATAATTTCAGTCGCAGTGAAAGAAAATTAACACGTGCGCGCATATGAGCGAAGCTGTGTGAGCTCTCGCTAAAGATGTCCGTTGCCTATTTATTTATAGAGCGAGCATACAGCGGCAAGCATGGTCACGCGCTTGCGTGCACATTTTCTCTACATGTTCATTCGGCACACCGCTCGCGCAGACACATAAAACAAAAGACACGCATACAAACATGCAATAATATGTATATATGGTAATATGTGTAGACTTTGGTTCGTATGTGAATATTGTACGACATTAATACAGATATTTGATCCGATAGAGACCAAAAGAAAGGTTCCTTTTCACGACGAAGAAAATCACACGGACTGTCCCTTTCTTTTATTTTACGTGACATCTTTCCAATCGTGACATTTGTTTATCAAGTAAATTATATTCAGATTGACTATTGATATTATAGTTATAGATGTTAAAAAAACAAAAACCTATAAGAAAAATATTAACGGTAATTACTACATTAGCAATATTTGCTACATAGATACATCGACGCTATATGTATACACTGTCGACCAAAAGTTTGAGACCACGTATAAAATTTAAGAATATTTTTAAAAACCCTACTTAAAAGTTTAATTCATGCCTTACTCAACATTTTTTTTTATTTAAAACAAAATAGATATTATATTTAGCACAGTTGTGACATAGTTTTCATTATCAATTTTCAAAAAATGGAGTACGGCAAGTCGTTGGAGTCATAAAGCCTTTTTTCTAAAATTGGACTGTGAAGTATTTTAGAAGATGCGCAGAAGAGTTTATTACCAAAGAAATAAATAAACTTGTTAAATATTACCTACATTAGAGAAAAAAATAATTAAATGTAAAGATGGCTGCTTTAGCAAAAATATCTAATATGAGGTTTTTCTTTTAAAAACACTAAAAAAATATATAAAAAATATTTTCTGTAAAACTTTTAAATATTTTATATTATTTTTTTATTTCGTTATAACAATAACTAAAATAATAAAAATATGTTAAATTATAATGCATAAATTTGATTTTACTTCATATTTCATATAGTAGGTATTTTCAATCAATGATCTCAAACTTTTAGCTGAGTACTTTGGACAGTGTATATATACCTATATTCATTTTTATATTTGGCATTGAGGGATTAACGAAGACTTAGTCGAAGCTATAATAAGAATGTATAATGAAAGTTAATTAAATTATTATACAGATTATGTATTATACATAAATCGCAAAAATATTATCACTTTCTAAATGTTACAGAGGCAAAGCAGGAGAGAAGAAACGAGTGTTAACAAATGATCGTCGATTCCAGTTATTCCGTATTTGTTATTCGATTTGTTTCGCTTTAACTTTGTTGGAACTATTTTTAAAAAAATTCAAGTAAAAAAGGCCACGTAATTTTTTTTTAATTGCGCAACTTGCTCGCCTAAAATACGAAGTTTCGCTAGCTACGCTTCGTTCCAGTTTAACAACACGTTCGATCAAAGAGAATGACTTAGCGCATAATTACTGAAAACTATAATATATTTATCGTATATATGTAAACAGTTATGCAATAAATGTTTCCAGTACAATTAATGTAAATGGATATTTCCGTTTCCTTAAACCGTCTCCCAAATTAGCTACAATAAAAATTCTCGAACAAGTCAACCCTCAAATGATATTAACCCTAGGTATACACATTGTTTTTTTTATGACGTCGTATACACACTGGGGTCCCGGGGACCCCATCCATATAGATCACTGTAACTCTAGTAAAAAGATCGGAAGAGCACACG